GCCCACAATTACTTCTACATTTGAGCCCATTGCTGATGCCACTGTGCCAGTCTATCTCGTTGGGGGTCTCCCTCTCCTTTGCTGTCTCTCCACTTTAACACAAAGCATGACGTCCTTCTCCAGGAACTGGTCCCTCCTGATAGTATATCCAAAGCATGAGAGATGAAACCTGGTCAACATGGCTTCAAGGAGCGTTGTGGTTGTACTTCAGAACAAAAACACAGGTTTGCTCTTCTGGCAGTCCGTGGTACCTTTAGTTCTTCTCTAACACCATAACTCAAATGCATCTATTCTTCTTATTCACTGTTCACCTTTCACAAACATATGAGGTCATTGAAAATACCATGGCTTGGATCAGGTGCACTTTAGTCCTCAAGCTGACGTCTTTGCTCTTGAATGCTTTAAAGGGGTCTTGTGCACCAGATTTGCCTAATTCAGTATGTCGCTTGATTTATTTATTTATTTTTTTTGACAGCTGCTTCGAAGAGTGTTGATAATGGATCTATATAAAATGAAGTCTTTGACAACTTCAGTCTTTTCTCCATTTATCATGATGTTGTTTATTGACCCAGTGGTAAGGATTTTTCTTTTGTCTTTTATGTTGAGGTGCAACCCATACTGGTTGCTGTGGTCTTTGATCTACATAAGCATATATTTTTAAGTCCTCTTTGCTTTCAACAAACAAGGTTACATCGACATGTTACTGGTTGTTAAGGAGCCTTCCTCCAATCCTGATGCCACATTCTTCTTCATAGAACCCAGCTTCTTGGACTGTGTGCTCAGCAGACAGATGGAGTAATTGTGATGAGAGTACAACCCTGGTGCACACCTTTCCTGATTTTGAACCATTCAGTGTCCCCTTGTTCTGTTCGAACGACTGCCTCTTGGTCTATGTACAGGTTCCTTGTGAACACAATGAAGTGTTCTCGAATCCTCATTTTCCATAGTGTTGTCTGCTTTTCCACTTTTGCGCCAATGTCGTATACTATTAACTTGTAATTTTTCTAATCTTGATAAGTGAGCAGTGACATATCTCTGTGTTTAATTGGCAGTTACCCTGGTATATTAGTCAAGATGAATTCCTGTTTTATAATCGCCTGTGACATCATTCGATCATTTTTCTAGTAGTTCTTGGTCTTTTTCTTAATGGCTTATTTTTATTGGCTTGGGGGTGGGGGAGGGGGAGAAGCCAGAATATTTTCTCTGAGATTGTCATTTCTTTTGGCTTACTTTATGACATTGTGCTACTTTGTTTCTTAGGTCTTTAGAGCATGGGCCCATTTCTTACATTTAATTAAATGAATTAACGTCACATTTACTTGGTATATGGACTGGGTGGTGGTCCAGCTTGACGTGTGGATTTCCTTGTGTGTGTGTTTCTGTCACTGCTATAGATGGACCTTTTGGCCTCCTGCCTCTGTTAGGAAGTCAGACTGGCTGGTGTCTTTTGTCCAGAGGCCCTGCTTAGTGGCCCTTTCCTGAGAGAAGGAGTCAGGAGCACAGCAGCTCACCCTGCGTCCCCTTGGGGCACCTTTCTGATCCCTGTGAGGCCCCGGTTGTGGCAGAATCTGGGCAGAAGGATCAGGTTGAGGGCAGGGACTTGGGGTGATTCTTACCGAGAGAGCCTCACGCAGCCGCAGGGAGGTGAGCCAGAGCTGTGCAAGGTGGACAGTTAAAAATCTCTTCTCATCAAGTTGGTTCCCACTCTGGTGACCCCTGGGTTGCAGAGTCGGACCGGTTCATGGGGTTTTCTGGTCTGTAATCTTAATGGGGGCAAATTTCCAGTCCTTTCTCTAACAGTACCACTGGGTGAGTTCGGACTGCCAAGCTTTAGGTTAGCAGCTAAGAATAAACCATTTATGCCGCCCAGGGACCTTTGGTTCACACTCACCAGCTGTTCTTGGAAACCCTATACAGGTGCTCACAGCACTAACCAACACAACCAGGGACCAGTTGATCCATTGGTCCGCATTGTTGGTAGCCAGTTCCAGCCCTCTCTCCAAGCTCATCTTTGGGTTTCCTGGGTGACTTTGTGTACAATCACCTCGGGACTCAAAAGACCAAACGGCTGTCCCTGCCCCTGGGGCTGAGAACCAGGTCTCCAAGGCTGCTGTTGGGGGCAGATGGAATCTTGTAGGTGGATAGAAGCATCTAGGTTCATAGCTCTCGGGGTGTGGTCCCCAGATCAGCAGCACTTGAGGACCTGTGAGGAATGCAGGTTATGGTCCTGCTAACTCATAAACTCTGAGGGGGGGTGGGGGGGGGGCAGCAATCTGTTTAACAAGCAGTGCTTCTACTGCATTGCTCGTGTGAAGACCCCTGGTCTGTGCTAGTTTGGGACCCAGGTATAAACTCACAGTGAGGTCAGCAGGTGTGTTTAAACAACCTACAGGTACATTCAGAGTCCTGTTGTGGGAAAAAGCACTGAACTGCAAGGTCAGCAGTTCAGACTCACCAGTGACCTTGGAAACCCTATACAGGGGTCACTGAGTCAGAACCGACTCAATGGCACTAACAACAATAATAACCAGGTGTATTTGAGTTATGGTGTTGGAGAAAAATCTTAAAAGTACTGTGAACTGTCAGAAGAACAAATAAATCTATGTTGGAAGAAGTATAGCCAGAATGCTCCTTAAAAGCCAGGACGGCGTGACTTTGTCTCTCATGCTTGGGCATACCGGCGGGAGGGATCAGTCCCTGGAGAAGGGCATCAAGCTTGTTGGTAAAGTGAAGGGTCGACAAAAAAGAGGAAGACCCTTCCCAATAAAGATGGAGTCACACAGTGGCAGCAGCAGTGGGCTCAGCTCAAACATAACAGCCGTTGTGCGGAGGGCTGCGTCCCAGGAATGAGTATCTTTTCATTAAGTTGTGCTTAGGCTCCTGATGAGTTGGAACTGACTCCAGGGCACCGAACAGCAACAACAGGCTTGCTTTGTTTTAATGGCCATTGGGATCTGTGTCCCTAGGGGCAGTTTAGTTGACACAGGCTCCTGCAGAGGGATTTGCATGAGGACAGGCCACACCTCTTTCTCTTCCTGAATGATCTGACCTCACTGGTCTCCTTTCAGCCTATGTCCCGTTATCCAGAGGTTGGAAAATGAAACCTGTGGTTTAGGATCAGCCCAAAATGGAGGCAGCTGTGGCTAGCGTGAGGCCTCTGGATTCCTGTTGCCAAAGGGATGGTGATAATTGTTGTAATGAAAAAGCTTGAATGCTGTTCAAGGTAATAAGGTTTAATTAAAGATTTAGGAGCCTTAAGGTAGAATCTCCACTGAATAGTTTTCATCTTGTCTAGACGGATCTGGTGAAAAGAGATGGGGATAAGATTCCTATGATTCAATAGTGAGTAGTTGTTATACCTAATTGCGACTGTCACAACTGTAAATGTAGAAGTTTTGTAACGAAAGGGAAGAGTAGTTAATCTTAAGGTCCAGAAACAGAGGACCCTAGGGCCATCAAAGGAGAAGAGCACAAGGGGAAAGCGAGACCTTATCCAGAGAAGCAGTGATGCCAGAGATGGCAGCAGAGATAGGGACATGGAGAGAGGGAGCAGCTGAGGACTCTAGATTCATGGGAAGAGAGGGACTGAGAGCTGGTGGCCAGGAGGCAGACTTGCAGAATGTGTTTAAACGATTATATATTCCTGAATGTTTTTGTGTACATCCCCTCCCCCCCCCAAAAAAAAAACAACAAACGGAATAGAAGCAAATACTGTTAAATGATTAAGCATGGAGGGGATTGTAATCATTGCCGTGAAACGATGAGTGTAAAACCCATGTTCTCCCTTGTAAACTATCACTCAGTTCACAGACTGATAAAAGAAAAGGGCAGCCCTGGCAGCACTGCATGATTAACCCTGAGCTGCTGACTGCAGGGTCTGCAGGTGAAATTCCCCAGCCACTCCTCCAGAGAAAGCTGAGGTTTCTGCTCCTCAGAAACTCTCTACAGGGTTGCCGGGAGTCGGACTCCACTCAGTGGCTGTGGGGTTTTAGTTTTACTGAAGGTTTTAAAGAGTGATTCAAACTGTGAACTTAATGGTCACAGAGTACCAGGTACAGTAATTACACCGATGTCCATACAGGGTTTAGACAAAGAACAGGATTTAGAATATTCAGAAGGTGGCTATAGGTGATGATGTGCTGATGGCTGTGTCTGCAGACTAGTGACAGGACAAGGTCAGGATAGGGCTGACTCTGAAATCAGATAGTAGACAGGTTTGTTAGGTATGGATGAGCCTGTCTTCAGGTAGAGGTTTCCAGAGAACGTACAGTGCAGGCGTTCCCTAAGAGTGCTGTGTATCAATCAGTCTGTACCTTGGTAAGTAAGGTAAGTTGAAAATAACTTGCTCTCAGCAATGTGTTTTCTGGTCATCATTTGCCTCGACCCTCTCTGGGAACAAGATGTGACACCTTAGTCTTGCTAAGCAGGAATGGAGTCTAGATTCAAATTCAGAACTAGCTATTTTATTTATGCCTAGTGCTTTGTCTTGAAGACAGCCTCTGTGTGTGTCAGAGGAGAACTGTGCTTGGCAGTGTCTTCCGTGGCTGAGTTTTTGGAAGTAGAGTGCCAGGACTTTCTTCCAAGGTGCCTCTGGGTCGACTTGAACCTCCAGCCTTTTAGTTAGAAGTTGAACATGTTAACCATTGGTGCTCACCAAGGACTGCAACATTGTCAAAGATGAGGAGACCATGAGCCCTGGGAACGGGACATGCGAGTGAAACTTGGGTGGAAGTGTTTGTCAAGGAAGCCTCAAGCTTACCCCTGCTGAATGAAGTGTGTCCTCTTGTGTAGCTTGAGCTGCTTGCAGCCCTCGCTGTGCCTAGCTGGAGGCCCCAACAATCAAGGGTAAAGTAGATTGCCGCAGTCAGTCCTGATGCCACTTCTCCTGCAGGGACCCTGGTGTGGTGGTTACCGCTCTCCAGAAGAGCTCTCCTGATCAGCAGTCTGCATCTCCTTACTCAGAGCCTGATATGCTTTCTTCTTGCCTTTTAGATCCAACCATGAGCTACCCAGGCTATCCCCCACCTGCTGGGAGCTACCCCCCAGCTGCACCAGGTAAGGGTGTGAGGTGGGGCATGGAGAGTGAATGCAGCCCTGCACAGAATGGACAGTGGAGACTGGGGGAATAATCGTGGTTTGCAGTAGTTTTCTCACTGCCCACCTCTCCCCTCAGTGCATCTAAGGTGGGTGCTGAAGCCAGGAGAGGCATGGGCTTGGAGCTAGTTCTGGGTGGCTAGGACCAGCTGGGACTGAGTCCTCTGCTGGCATAGCTGATATCAGTAGGCCGATGCCTACACATGTCTTAGACTGTTTCTCCTCTCCCACGTGGGTTCACAGATGTTCAGGAGAGTAGACGGAGCCTTTGTACTGTACTCTCAGAAGTCCTGTTAAAAGGACAGTGCCCCTTGTGTGCTGTAGCAGGGGCCTTCCATGACAGTGGCTGCCCCAGCGTGGTGGCAGCAGATAGCATGGACATCAGCCACCTGTCAGGTGTGCCTCTCCACACTATAGAAGTTATCTGACCACATTGATGTTCCAGAAATGAACTGTGGTCTCCACAGTTGGGAGCATCCAGTGCCCTGGGACGAGGGGGAAGAAAGGGCCCATGACAAGGTTGGTCTTCCTGAGGGGGCCTGACCAGCAGCTACCCCTCACCCTAGGAGACCTCTGAGCATCCGCAGGTCATCCGGACCCTCACTCCTGTCTGACAAGTGAAGAAACAGGACCAGACCTGGAGGTGGCTCAGCTGCTGTCACTGGCTTATTCTTCTCTGAACCAGATTTGACAACACAGCCTTCGTCCCCTCTCTACTGGGAATCCTACCACCGTCACTGTTTGTCAGCTCAGTGGGGCAGCCTCAGTGACTTAGAGAGGGATCTGCCCTGAGTATTCCCGAACCTGGAGCAGAAAAACCAGCCCCTGTCACAGGCAGGAAGCTGGTCACTGACCAGTAACGCCCACTAAGGCTCTCTGTACACCAGGCCTCTCTGCAGAGTCTCCACTCACCAGTCCTTCCAGTTAGCGTTACTGTTTGTCCACCAGGAAATGGAACCCTGAGTAGTCGCAGGCCTTGTCCAGGGCGTAGACCTTGATCCTGTTGGTCTTGGAGCTCTGCCTTTCCATTGCTGTCCCTATGTGGACTGACTGCGTTTGTCTCCCTCCATCCCGCCTCTCTCTCAGTGCCCCCTGTGCAAACTCTCCCTGCCTCCAGCAGATTGTCAGCAAACAGCATAGTAACAGCCAGCGCCCAGCTCTAGGCCTGTCCCTTCAGCCCCTGACCCCAGGTCCTCAGGCTCACCACTGTCATGAGCTCTCACAGGGTCCGCGTCTGCCCTCAGAGTTCTAATAGTCCCCAACCCCCCAAGATCTCACGAGAGTTGCTCAACTGCCTTTCTCCCTGGAAAAAGAGGAGGCTGTCTCACCCTGGCTAGCGGTAGATTTTCCTGCCTGAGTGTTATCCGAGTGTCCCGCAGAGCTGTGCTGGGGGCTCCGCCAGACTCCTTCCTGATGGCCAAGAGCTTTGTCCCCGTCTAAAGGTTGCCCGTGGGCTATACCGGGCTTACTGTACCTTTCAGGTGGTGGTGCCTGGGGGGGTGCTGTCTACCCCCCACCCACTATGCCCCCCATTGGACTGGATAACGTAGCCAACTACGCAGGGCAGTTCAACCAGGACCACCTCGCAGGAATGGTAAGTCCAGCTCTCTGCCAAGGCTGCGTCTAGGGCCAGGTCTGCATGGGGTCAGCTGCGGGCTTCCTGGCTCCTCTTTTGGGGCGGGGCCTTCTTTCACCAGTGCTCCGCCCCCTGTCACGGCCTGTGTGACTCTCCATGTTGCTTCTCTAAAGTGAGGGGAGGGGAGCTGCGGCTTCTCAGCTCTAGCTGGGCTGGGTAGAGGGCGGTGCCTTTGGAAGTATTTATTATGCGCCTTCTGTATGAGCTCAGCATAGGGCTGGTGTCTCTGTATTTGTGTGTTTTCTCCATGGCAGTTAGCATGGCAGACATGTTACATACATGTGTGGTTTTACTTTTAAAAAATATATTTTATAAACTGAAAAAAATGCTGAAGAGTAGGTTTACCAGATAGACTAGTTAGTCCCCCTTCAGGTGTGACATTGAACTCACCCCATAGATCAATTTTCACTCACATAAGCCGCTCCGCTCCTTGGAAATCCTGTAAGGGGTTGCTGTCAGTCACAATGACTCCAGTACTTAACAACAACATAAGGGAACAATATAACCCTCCGGAAGTAAGCACTCCTTAGATTAATCAGCCATTTGAAATCAAAAGGGCAGCATTTACCCAGGGACAAAGTTCAAAAGAGATAGGAAAGGAGGAAGAAAAGCAAGAAACACAAGGAGGAAGTGGGATAAATGGTGTTCCCTTGAACAGATGGCATCAGCTAGATGAAACAAAATGTGTGTGAATTATCAAAGGTAAAACTGATGATCTGCTCTGTAAACCTTCACTCAGTTCACAGTAAAAAGTTAAAAACAATAAACATGTTCAATGTAAGCATGCGCCAGGCTCACTTATCGGTACAGGGGACATGGGAGGAAATCTCTGCCCTGGATCATGCATCTTCTCACAGGCTGGGCAGAACAGACACAGCAGAGCCATCGGCAGTGAGCAGGCTAGGAGGTCAGGGTGCAGGGTGAAGTGGGACAGTGAGAGCTCAGGGTGGGCCTTGCTGAGGAGGCAAAGGAGGGAGGGAGGAGCGCCAGCGGAGTGCTCAGGGGAAAGTATGCTGGGCCGAGGGGCGCCATGCCTGGTGCACTCAGCTGTTGGGTCAGTGAAGACTGGGACCAGATCATAGAGTGTGTAGCAGACGCTCATCAGCATTTACACATTTATTCTGGGGGTGGTGCTGACAGGGTAAAGCACAAGCCCACCCGAGCATTAGTTCCTGGAGGTAGGTACCACTCACATTGGCCCATTAGCCTGGGATAGAAGGAAGGACTCAGAAAGGCCTGCAGCAGAGGCCCAGCGCAGCCATCTGCTGACCACCGTGTAATTCTGAACAAGGGTTTTCAGCTCTCTGGGTGTGTTAACGCTTCATATTTCACAAGTGGAGACACTGAGGATTTCGTTAGATAAGGCATGAAGGGTGCTCAGTATAGGCAGGGTACAGAGTGCAGGGTACGTACGGAGTAGGCACCGGGGATGCTGCTGGCACTAAGCTGGTGGCGGTTTCCCTTCAATGGAGCTGTGAGTAAAGCTTTGGGGATCCCACCGCAGGGCTCAGGTCGGAAGGGCAGAGAGACTGAGGTGAACCTTGTTAGGGCCTCTGTCTTAGACGCTGCTTTGTGTATTTTCAGGCGGCCAACATGTCGGGGACATTTGGAGGTGCCAACATGCCAAACCTGTACCCAGGAGCTCCTGGGGGTGGTTACCCTCCAGTACCCCCTGGGGGCTTTGGTCAGCCTCCCTCTGCCCAGCAGCCCATTCCTCCATATGGGATGTATCCGCCCCCTGGAGGAAACCCACCCTCCGGGATGCCTTCATATCCACCATACCCAGGAGCCCCTGTGCCTGGTCAGCAGCCCCCAGGGGCCTACCCTGGACAACCCCCAATGACCTACCCCGGGCAGCAGCCGGTGCCCCCTCCTGCACAGCAACTGCAGCCAGTGCCAAGCTACCCAGCGTTCCCAGGATCTGGGACTGTCACCCCCGCTGTGCCCCCCACCCAGGTGAGTGACCATTGTGCTACCCTCTGTCAGGAGACAAGCTGCCTGCAAGGCCTGGGCCTGGGGGGAGGGAGCTGGACTTCCAGCTGCAACTTCCTGTTTCACAGATTGTCCGTTTCACAGACCAACCGCCCTGGTCTGTAGTCCTTGAATCCTCCAGGAACAGCCCCGCTCAGCTTCCCGTTTAGGTAGCGGAGGGTCTGTGCAAGCTGGAGCTGGCGGCCACCATGCCCCACATCACTCCTTGGCATTTACTTAAACTGTGCATCCCACAAGGACTGCGTGCAGCCAGCCCCAGGCTTTGTGCCAGCAGCCATTCATCTCTAGCCCCCTTGACACGCCCCCTCCCCATGTCCCCATGGGCTTTGCCTCCTTTGGGGAAGGAAAGTTGGCAGCTTCCCCTGGGTTGATCTTGACTCATTTCAAAGAACAGTTCATGTTTGTAGAGCCCAAATTTTGTTGTCACGGTTATATGGCCCAGTCAGCCCAGCGCAGGCAAGTGGTATGTGTGTGCCTACTATTTTTAGACAAAGGGTCCCCTTCATCCCTAGCTGCCACCCACACCATGCCTCACCGCTGCCCTGCTTTCCATCCTCTCTCCCTACCTATCCCCTTCACCTTTGCTCTATAAGCTTAGCTGTTTAGCTGCGATCAGTTTATAGTTCCCACAGAACAGGCACCGACAGACAGGTCAGTCTGGAAAGTTCCATCTTGTCAGTAGTAGAGCTGTAGTTCCAGCAGCAAGCCAGTTATAGGGAACAGTTCCGGGAAACCAGGGTCAGTTCAGGAGGAAGGTGGTCTACATTCAGGGTCAGGGATGCTGTGTCCCGTTGTGAGGTTGGACATCTGAGATGGAGCTGCATCCACCTGGATGGGGACATTGTTTTCTAAATGGCAAAAAGATGCTGCTTCAGCTAGTCAGGCTGTGTGAGGAGCCCCCGAGGTATGCTGCTGCTCTGAAGCCTGCCTGTCATTAGGAACCCACACCGCAGCCCTATGGCTTCAGTCCTTGTAAGACTTGGAAGGAAGACTTGGGCTAGGGCAGGGCTTCAGGGTCAGGAATAGCTCCAGATGGGTTCCTAGTCATGGGAGGCAAGCTTTAATCTCCGAGCCCTGGGGCCGGGGAAGTCACATGAGGCTGACTGAGTGTGGAATCTTCTACACTGTTGACCTGGTGGGCTCCTTCAGGTACCAACTCTTCAAGAAAGGGTGGTTCCCAGCATTTGGGGAGCAGGTATGCAAGTCATCTTACCGTGTCTGCTTATCCAAATAGTTGGGGAATCGCGGCACCATTGCAGACACTCCTGGATTTGACCCATTGCGAGATGCCGAGGTCCTGCGCAAGGCCATGAAAGGCTTTGGTGAGAGACCCGTGGACTTAAATCACCCCTGCCCCAATCATGCAGCTTTGTGTGCTGGGGTCGTTAGCAGGGGAGGACTGGAGGATCCAAGCCAGTAAAGTCTGCAGTTGATGAGCCTCCTGTCCAGCCCTGTCCACTCCTGCCCCTTCCTCCTGCAGGGACTGACGAGCAGGCCATCATTGACTGCTTGGGAAGTCGCTCTAGCAAGCAGCGGCAGCAGATTCTCCTGTCCTTCAAGACTGCTTACGGGAAGGTGAGTGGGCAGTGGCAGCCACATCCTGCCTGCTCAGCCCTGCTTTTCATGGGCTGCGCACCTGGCTTTTGGAGATGCACACTTGACCCTTTCCTGCTGACCACCAACCAGTGGTCTCCTTTAGAATTGAAGTCTGTTCTGAGGGAGAAATCCCAGGACCCTTATAGTACTGAGATGCGATTGGGTGAAGAGGGTATCAGGAGATCTGGGGTCTAGCTCTGGCTCTACTGCATGCAACTCACCCAGCCTACCTCACCACCTGTCAGACCAGCTTTCTACCACCACTGTAGGTAGGAGGCTTACTGCTGGTACAAGAACTCGGAAGAAAGGGGTTTAAAGTCCTGCACAGATGCTAGGGGACAGATTCTGATCTTTGGGATTTGGGAAGCTTAGAAAGGTAAAACTTGGGGAAGTGCTGGCTAGGTCAGTGCTCAAGCCCAGGGCTCCTCAGATTTTTATGTGCCCTGGATCCACTGGGCATCTTGTTCAAATTCAGACACTGACCAGCAGGTATGGGGTAGGGCTGGAGAGTTGGCTTTTCTACCACGCCCCCAGGTGTTACTAGGATCCAGGACGTGTTCGGTTTGAGCACCTTCTATAGGGGGGGTCTCAAAATAAATTTTGTTTGTTTAATATTCAATCAGGATTTGATTAAAGATCTGAAATCGGAACTGTCAGGAAACTTTGAGAAGACAATCCTGGCTATGATGAAGACCCCGGTCCTGTTTGATGTGTATGAGATCAAAGAAGCCATCAAGGTGTGTACATGTGCGTGTGTGTGTGTTCACATGTGTGGACATAGGTCCCAGGGGGCTGTGTGGCAGCTGAGTTGGAGCCTAGGTACTGAACCTGGGGTGATTTCCTCAAGAAGCATCTGCATCCTTCCCCACTTTGAAATAATGGTGAGGACTGGGGTCTGCAAGGTTAAAAGGTTGTGGAGTCCTGGTGTGGTGCTGTAGATGAGTACTGGACAGCTAACCTCAAGATCAGTGGTTCAAACCCAGCAGCAGCTCCTTGGAAACTCTATACAGAGTCGCTGTGAGTCAGAACCAACTTGACAGCACTTAACAACACCACCAACACGGGACTGAAGTTGGAACTTTTTTATTACCAAACAACAGAGGCACACTTGAGGAATATAAGCAACACAGAAACAAGGGATTGGTTGAGATACAGAAATACAGCCGGCATCAAGAGATGGAATGGAAGGGACCTGGGCGTGGTTTCTCCCTCATCTTGGCTTCTTCCTGAGTGCCCACTTCATTCTTCTCTCAACTTCTCTCTCTGCCGCTGCTTGCCTGTCTAGTGGGTATGCCTGTCACCCTCCCTGCTTACAGCTCAGTGACCCAGCCACAGAAGAGAGCAGCCACATTCCAAGGAGAAGGAAGAGTGGCTCAGCCTGGGTCTATTCTCTCCCTCCAGTTCAACCCGTTATGACAGAAGGAAGGCCGTGTACATTTGGCTCCCCAGACACCCACAACATAGGCGAAATCCTTGTGAGCCGGACAGGCCACCCAGGAGGACTCTTACATTTACTCAGAGGTCTGACAGACACAATGAGTTTCCTACCCCAAGGAGAGAAGCAGAGAATGCAGGCTGGGGCCTGGAAGAAATGCATCTCTGTGCTGTCTTCATCCAGGGCTGGGGGCGGGTGGGGGCAGAAGGCAACTCGGGAGGGACCCAGGGAGAGGGCATCTGCCCAGCCACAGCCATCTCAAGGCGGGGTAGTTGTGGGGTGCTGGGAACAACACACGTTTGGGGTTGGGACAGATGTCACTAAGTAGCTGGGTGTCCTTGAGCGTCCACAAATGGGAGATGTGTGTGGTGTGTCTGACGTGCTGAGCCTTGAGTGGTGAATGAAAGCTCTTTGTCCCCTCACACGCCTTAACAGCAGGAGGGGTGGTGATGGCATGGCAGCGAGCTCTGGGTGGGGCTCTGTGTGCCACTGTGAAACACTGTTCACTCCTGTCATCCTCATGACTGCGCTAGGGTGTCATCCTGCTGTACAAACAAGGACACCGAGGCACAGAAAGCCGCCACAGCCCCGCAGGTAGTCCGTAGCAGAACCATGATTCCTATCGACATAAAAGCTGGGCTGCCGGCTCTGTCGCCTGCTCTGGCTCTGCCCTAGCATTGCCGTCCCTTCTGTCCTGGCCTTTTCTCATTGTCACTGTCCACTCTGTAGTAGTGGAGGTGGTGGTCAGTTGCTGTCAAGTTGATTCTGACGCACGGTGACCCCACGTGCAGGGTACAGCTCATACATAGCATTGCTAGGCTGTGACCGTTCAGAAGCAGTCACAGGCCTGTCTTAGATGCCTCTGGGTAGACTTGAACCACCAGCCTTTCAGTTCACAGTCGAACACATATCTGTTTACACCACCCAGGGACGGTACTCTGATCTCTCTAGGGTGAAACCATTTTCTCAGTTGTTTCTCATCTCAGTCATGAGCTGAATTATAAATGAAACAGTCCCAGGTCCCCATCCGAAGTTGACTATGGCCCATGCAGCCTTGGAGACGTCACTGCTTGCTTCTGTGATGGCCCCAGATTGTCACCGTTGTTGCTGGGTTTGCTGTGTGAGGGCTAAGGCAGCAGCCTGGTTCTGGCTCCTGGGTGCTGTTTGGGGCTCTCAGTGTGTGGTGCTTGAGCTGTTTGCCCCCTTGCTCCTGCAGGGGGCTGGTACTGACGAAGCCTGTCTGATTGAGATCTTGGCGTCGCGCAGCAATGAGCACATCCGGGAGCTGAACCGAGCCTACAAGGCAGGTGAGGTGGCGCCAGGCCTCCAGGTGCTGAGCTCTGCAGATCTGTCTGCTTCCTGGGTCCTGGCCACACCTGCCAGGACCTTTTTTTTTCCTTTCAGCCTTCTTATCACCCAACTTCTGTCTTTGAGTTTTAACCTAAGACCCAGACCTGCCTACTTTTTACACATGGGCAGGTGACTAAAGGTAGACTAAAGCATGATTTGGGCCAGGCCATCCCCTCCCAGTGCCCACTCTGGACACTGTGTGCCCCGGGTAACTGCTTTCAGGGGCTCTAGGTGGACCTTCCTGTGTGTCTCTTATTTAGAATTCAAAAAGACCCTGGAGGAGGCCATTCGGAGCGACACATCGGGACATTTCCAGCGGCTCCTCATCTCCCTTTCTCAGGTGCCTCCCCCACCTCAGGGCTGGGAGGAGAGAGGGCCTCACACCCTGAGGAAAAGGAACTGGGGGAGGTGGGAAAAGCTCCCAGGAGTGGGCCTGACCATTCTGCCTGTGTTCATTTCAGGGGAACCGGGATGAGAGCACAAACGTGGACTTGTCACTTGTCCAGAGAGATGTGCAGGTGAGTGGGCTTCCTCAGCCAGGTGACGCCACCTGCTCAGTGCACAAGGGAGGCGCGCTGGTGGCGGCAGAAAGAGCAGGACTGAGAGGCCTCAGGAAGCTTTGTCAGCTGTGTGACCTGGAGCAAGCCACCCACTCTGGGCCTCCCTTTCCCCCCTTGGAAGAGTTGACTGAGTACGGTTATCGGGTTGCATGTGACCCCACTTTTCCTGTGCCAAACTGTGCAGGCCAGTGTGTTTGTGAAGTGATGGGCACGGCACTCACCTGCTAAGCTTTGGATGGTATGAGCCCAGAAACCAGCTGTCACATCAGAGGTAGAGCCTGAGACTCCAGCCCTGGCCCAGTCTAGGGGAGTCAGATGAGAGGGGACGTCTCTCTGCTGTTTCCTGTCTGTCCAGGCATCTGGGTTCGGCCCCTCTCTGGTGGAGTTCAGGTTTCCTCGATGCACTGAGACCACAGTGTCCTGCTGGAGACCCTCATAGTCTGTTTTCTGGTAGGGTAGAGCTAGCCATCCCTGGGGCTCCAGTACACTGCTCCCCTCAGTTCTCCAAACCCTGGGTAAGGGCCAGTGGCCACGTGGTCATCTTTCCATTATCAGGCTGGAAAAGGACCACATAGAATGCCCCCCTGTGCTGGCTGAAAGAAGAGGTTCTTAAAGTCCAGTACTTAACTTGTATTTTCCAGATGGAAACTGAAGCTCAGAGAGGGTAGTGACCTGTCTAGAGTCCCATGGGGCCCAGGCCTCAGCCCATTTTCTTCTCTATCACACTGCTCCCTTTGCTGGGTTATGGCTGTTCCTTGCTTGACCTGGGCCCCTAGTTGTACCTTGGTCCTCCTAGTCCACAGCTCCTGAGTCCTGTGTCACTTCACAGGGGGCTGTGTAGAGGGCATCTGGTTCAACCCAGTGAACATGCCACAGCCTGAGCTCCCACAGTGCCCACGCCCAGTGTGGGGCTGCCTTCCCTCCAGGCTTGTCTGTCCAGGTGATCACGGGGAAGCCCTCAGTGCAGGCCTGTCATCTTCTCTGTACAGGAGCTGTATGCAGCCGGGGAGAACCGCCTTGGGACAGACGAGTCCAAGTTCAACGCGGTTCTGTGCTCCCGTAGCCGGGCCCACCTGGTAGCAGGTAAGTTAGCCCTGGCCTCCCTGGTCAGATGAAGACAGACAGGTACTGTGAGAACAGTGAGCTTCTAGGAACTGTTGACACTTCTGCTCTCACAGGAGCCCCCTGGTGGTGGTCTAGGGTTTCCTGAGTTTCTCTGAGCATGGGTTCTGGAGGAAGGGCAGGAAGAGGTGAGGGAGGTAGTACCTCCTGTTTGCTGGCATCTTTGTACACCAGGATGTGAAAGAGTCCACTGTTATCCAAGGTGTGGCTTAAGAAAGAGTTACAATCACAAACACTAGGAGGTCCTGGGTGGGCGCAGAAGGTGAAGGCATGCGCTCGGTTCCTCACTGAAAGGATGTCGTCAGGGTTAGTGCACCCAGAGGTACCTCGGAACACAGGCCTGGTAATCTGAAAGATCAGCCAGTGAGAGCCTTGTGAAGCATGTTCTCTCCTCCGATACACATGGGGTCGCCATGAAAGAGCCAGATACATACTTACCATTATTCTTTCCTTCCTCAGTCAATCACTACGTATCCGTTGAGCTCCATGGGGCCAAGCTGTGGAGGCGGGGACAAGACTATCACATGGGCAACAGAGGAGGACTGGGAGGGGACTTGCAGGGCAGGGGTCGGATTGAGGTGGGATTGGGTACACAGTCTGAGTAAAGATAACGTGAACAAGGGGCAGTTGGTAGGGGAGGAGTCGAGTGGGAGACGTGGGCCCCGGGAATGGGTAGAGGCACCCTCACCACATGGCTCTTGTGTTTCTGGTTAGTTTTTAATGAGTACCAGCGGATGACCGGCCGGGACATTGAGAAGAGTATCTGCCGGGAGATGTCCGGAGACCTGGAGCATGGCATGCTGGCTGTGGGTACGTGTCTCAGGCCTGTCTTGTCCCCGAGCCACACACGCTGGGCTCGGCCTTCCTGCTTGGGTGGGTGCTTGTCTGGGGTGAGCAAATGTTTGTTAATTCCAGGGGTCTCACCATCCAGCGGAGGGGTGGGGTGGTGCAGTGACTAAAACCACAGGGGTCAGAGCCCCTCGCTGACCCAGAGGCAGAAATGGCTGTTTGTATTTCGAGCTCGGTTCTGAGGAAGAGAGCTGCAGTGTGGCCACCCAGGGGAACGCATCCAGCTTCTCTCCCGAAGGAAGAGGACTCGGGTCCTGCCAAGTTTCCTCTAAAAATACAGCCCTGTAGGCAGTTGTCAGATGCTTGTGATAGAAACACATACAGAGATTTTTTACTTGGAACCACAGAACAGGCTTTGCTAAGGAGAGCTGACCTAGCTCCCAGGATGAGAGGTGCCCCTGGTGATGCCAGACCCTGGAAAGCCCAGCAGGCTCCTGGTCCCCTTACCCTAAAGGGTGGGGTCTGCACCCCTGGCCCTCCCAGTCCCTCTTCGTACCCGTTGGAAAATGAGTTTTACCATTTCTGCCTTGTGTTTCTGGGAACTCTGTGGGTGGGACATATTTGCTCCAAATAAGGGAGCAAGCCGTGCTTGCCCCGCATGGTAGGGACTGAGGTCTGCTGGAGAGAAACCACTCAGGAGACCCTCGTTCTGCATGGCCCCAATGCCACCCTGGGTCGTGCATTGCTTCTCCAGTCACCCTGCCACTGCTGGACCAACAATAGAGCCCCTCTCTCCATCCTCAGTTCCTCCCTGTGCAATTCCAATCGTCATTTAACCCCCTGGTCCCTCTCTGCTTCTCACACCTTCCACAACATTGGCCGCCATAAAGGTGTGTTGTGTGGTTTTAATTCCAGAGAGCTGGAGGCCAGCTTGTGAGATACTGAGCCTGGAGGAGTTGGGGAGATGGACACAGTGATAGGTTTGACATGGGGCCCCCTTCCTGGACCATCCCGTGGGATGGGAGCCCTTCTGTCGCTCTAATAACACTGTGTTTTCTCTTTTCTAGTGAAATGTCTCAAGAACACCCCAGCCTTCTTTGCTGAAAGGCTCAACAAGGCCATGAGGGTATGTCACACCCATGTGCAGAGGGCCTGGGGAGATGGAGGGGGCTGGGCATGACAGCATGTGGGGAGGGCACCACACTTCCAGCCAAGAGGTCTGACAGCAGAGAAGACAAGAAAGCAGGCTCCTCTTGTCCCCCTGCGCTGGGAGATGCAGGAGGGGATCCGAGTGCCAGGGTAGGTGGGAAGGCGTGGCCTACTGTTGCTCATGCCTTTGGTGGGCTCTCCTTAGGGAGCAGGGACAAAGGACCGGACCCTGATTCGCATCATGGTGTCTCGAAGCGAGATCGACCTCCTGGACATCAGAGTGGAGTACAAGAGGATGTACGGCAAGTCGCTATACCACGACATCTCGGTACGGGCCCCAGGCATCTGTCTCATGCACCGTGGGCCTCCCTGGCCTCTCACCTTTCCCCTCCCGTGGTCTGAGGCCTCTTTGCCACACTCTAGACTCTGGTTAATTCACCTCAAGTTCTCTTCAACTTCTCACTTGTTGGTCTAGTTGCTCCCAACCAGATTGTAGGTTCCTTGAGGGCACTGTGCTGATGACCCTCCTTGATCCCCCACTGCTCTGTAAGCAGATAGCAGGACCTCCCCCACCTTGCTTGGTGCCAGCCTTCAGAGTCTGTCAGTAGAAACTCAGGTCCCTGAGGCTCTGGGATCGGCCGCTTCCTCTCACTTCACGGTGGAGGCGCAGGAGGAAGGTGGGGTCCCCCTGCTTGGAGTCTAGCTCTGGTTTTTCTACCTGCTAACTGTATGGATCTCCAGCAGCTTCCTTGAACTTCCCTAAACTCCAGCTCCATCATCTATAAATGGCGGTATTAATAGTTCCTCCCTACAGATATTTTGAGTATTGACTGAGGCCTCCCTCACCCACCAACAGAACCTCTCCCATCTAGTGGATTCTGACTCGTAGTGACCCTCATGGTAGAGCTGAGCCGCTCCTTAGGGTCTCCAAGCCTGGAAATCTTTATGGGAGCAGACAGCCTCATCTTCCTCCCAAGGAGCAGCTGGTGGGTTTGAACCGCCGTCCTTGTGGTTAGCAGTCTGGTGCCTAGCCGTAGTGCCACCAGGGCTCTCTATTGGATGAGGCAGTCCCTATAAAACATATTATATGCTTGTTGTTAGCTGCCCTCAAGTTGGCTCTGAGCCATGGGGACCCCAGGCATAGTGGGGCTCAGACTGTTGTGATCCATGTGGTTTCCTTGTCATTGTTGATGTTCTCACAGTAGATGACCAGGTCTTTATTCCTAGCCACCCTTAGTCTGAAAGTACCACTGAAATATGTTCTGCATCACAGCATCATGCCAGCTTCCAGTGCCAGAGGGTGTAGGCTGCTTGTGAGCTGCACTGGCCAGGAATTGAACCCAGGTCTTCCTGTGAATGAACCACCCCTGTGATGTGCTATGTATACATATAGGTGTCTGAAGGGGCTTCAGATGGAATTAAAGATAGGGAATTGTCCCCCAAACTTTTCGAAGCCCCCTCATACGTCATGTCCAGTACACTAGCAATTCCCTGTATACCATGCACCAGGGCCAGTCTGACAGTGTGTCTGGAACATGGCTGAACCTTGGAATTGAAGGCGAAGGCCAGGTGCTACATTTGGCCCTCAGTAGCATTTCATGTTGGGGAAGTTACTTGGAGAAGCTAATCGCCATTTCTCTGGCTCTACAACTGATGCTGCTAATAGAGGATCAGACATGATTTACAGAATACCCCTGTGTACCCGGGGGCTGGGGGCTGGGGGAAGAAGCCACGGGCTTTGCTCTTCCCAGTAGCAGGAGGTGATCAGAAGTTAGTTAAGCCTGGCCTGTACTTCTAGTGGCTAAGGCAGAGGCACTGCTGGGATCTGGGACACCTGAATTGTACTCGGGTACATTACGCCATTGCATTGTACGGCGGCGTAATCCCTGTGTAGCTCCACATACCTGTGCTCAGGAAGACCAGTACATATTGGCCAGTCCTGATTGTAGTTCTTTAGCTGGTTGGAAATTTTTTGGTGTTTCACTCTTCAAATTCTGACTTTTCTAACTGGGGTGATTGGTGGGGAGCACAGCTGCTCACCCACTGTAGAACCAGTGGACTGGGAAGTTGAAAGTGGTGTTACCTCCCTTAATGGACATATTCCTTGTTTCCATGGCCAGGGAGATACTTCGGGGGATTACCGCAAGATTCTGCTGAAGATCTGTGGGGGCAACGACTGAGCAGGGCTGGAGGGTCACTTCTGCCCACCTGCCCCCAAAGCAATGCCAGGAAAAGGCCAAAAGAATGTCTAATGCCACCCAAAAAGTACCCTCCGAGGTGCCCCTGTCCTATACCCACTTCTCCTGACACGCATTTCTTGCTGAAGGACCTGGGTCGGTTTAGAACTCTCTCAGGAAGCATTTTCACTCCCCACCCTCACACAGCCTCTGCTGCTAAAGTAGATGTTTTATTTCCTATCTCATGGGGTCATTTCCCTTTGCTTGTGGCTACGACTCCTGCCTTCATTTTAGTCATCATTTTATATTTTATTTGTAGACATGTTTTTTTCACATTCATTGCTAGACAGATGCATGTAAGTCTGTTGGCTGCGTAAACATGTCTGGTGAGAGAGATTGGGTGGGGACATGCTGTGTCCTCACAGGAGTAAAAAGAGGACCTGTAAGGACAGTCTTTGCATCTGGTGAGTATGTGTCATGAGTTTTGTTATTGCCAAACTCTCACTGCTTTTAGAAAAAAGACCAGAAAGTCTCTGTTCCAACTTCCATGGCAAACCACGAGGAGAAAGCAGTTCCTTGCCAGTGACATAGCTTTTTATGTTTTGGAATGTGCCTTAAAACTTGAATGTCTGTAGCCAAAAACTGTTTCCAAATTAAAGCCAGCCAACTGTGGAACATTCTAGAATTTTTTCCTGGTGCCAGTTTGTTTTCTTCTGCTCCGTGATCCGGCCCCATGGCTCAGGAATTCCAGCCTATTCGCCAATGGCAGCTCCTGTAACTTGAAGTAGAAAACTCTGCTCGGGAACTCCTTAGGTTGTAACAACAAGAGGAGAGAGGGTCCTGAACTCCATGGTAGTCAGGAATCTTGGTCCAGTGCAGGCCCCGTGATGTCTACTGAGGGCGAAGTAGAAACAGTTTGACCCTTTATTTGGTTCCTGAAGAAGACCATGGGTAGGGACAGAAATATGTCTCAGCTCAGCTCCTGGTTAGGCCTTAGGGGCCAGAGGGGAGTGTGGGGCCAACCCAGGGAGGTACAAGAGCACTGCTTTCCCTTGGGAAGCCTCCAGTCTGAAAGGCTACAACCTGGTTGTGGTCCTTTGGCAAGCTCTTGTGTTGATGGTGTGACTGAGGTATTGAAGAAGAGTGTCCAAAAGGGGCCATTCTAGAAATCACTGTGTCATGTCCAGGAGCCAGAGCTTGCCTTCCTGGTCAGTTGCCTTTCTGATCTGTCCATGGCCTCCTGTGTTAAAAAATTAGAAAGGGAAGAAGCCAAAGAGACTAAGGTAGTAGATCAAACCTGTTTCCACCTGCCAAGGGCCCCAGAGAGTGGCTTCTCCGCAGAACAGACATCGACTTGGAGACACGATCGGGATCCTTACTGCCCCAGGGTAGTGACAAGAGGGGCTGGTACCCAGAGGGCGTGTACAGCCATGAGCTAGACACTCAACATGGTCTACTTAGGTCTGCCTTCCTGAGCCAGGGGAGGCTAGTGTGAGTACGGGATCACTGCACCCCATCTTCTTTCCTACAGCTCTCTGTAGTTTCTCTGCGTAGAGCCTCTTGAGCCCACTTTTGACCCAGCCTACCTGGGCTAGGCCCCATTCCTGAGAAGCCCTTTGGGTGGGGCAAGTCCATTACTGTGAGTTGCCGTGTTGGACCTGCCCAGTAGGATGAACTGCTTGGCACCACAACTTAACCAAGGATGCACACTGACCCTGGGGGGCCCAGAGCCAATTTGTTCTGATGATAGAAGGCTCTGTGGCACTCCTTAGCCCATATCTACACCAGTGACTTCAGCCTTGTGCCCAGCAGGCATTACCTAACTTGCAGGTGCAGTTACTTTGGTCCCCAAAATGTATATCTCTTTAGAATGTTGAATTTGTTGCCAACTTCTCAACATTGAGGGATTTATGTCTCCCTTTAATTCTGGAATTCTAGCTTCTCTTGAAGAGTCAGAAATCTCGCAACTCTAGGTAGGTTTAACAGGAACTGCTAGAGCCATGTTGTAGTTTCCCCTCTAAACAAAGTATGTTGTTGTTACATGCCGTCAAGTCATTTATGACTCATAGGGACCCTGTGTAGGGTTTCCAAGGAGCAACTGGTGCGCTTGAACCACCAACCTTGTGGTTCATACTGACTTTGCAGTCCAGCACATTAACCCACAGCACCAAACCACGACTCCAAAGTATATATTCTCCATCTTGCCATAGGTCCATCCATTCCCAATTGTGTCTCACCAAACCCATGTTAACTATTTGGCCCCTGCAGGTCTTTGAGTTGGAAATTCCTGGTCGGCACCCTTGGTGACCACCACTGTGTATTCCACTGTTGGTTTCCCCGCCTTCCTGTTCATCTGGCTGCTCTTCTGGCCATGACCACAAGACCCAGTGCATGGTAACTGGACTGGAGGACTTAGTAAACGCCTCATTTAGATCTTCCCCAAGGATAGAAAAAACTACTGCCCTCCAAGACCAGTAGGAGTTTAGAGTCTACACTGCTGATTGTGCCCAAGACAGAAGAGCCAGGAAAAGAGACATTGGCCAGACAGGGCATCTTTCTGGGAGACTTTTTTTCCTCCCTCCTGGAGGTGATAATCAAAGCCAAGCTATGCTACATGGCTAATCTCACTGTCAAAATAGCACCTAGAGAACAAGGCATCCGTGAATTCAGCCTCGAGTTAATTTTCATCAGCTGTAGAGGATTGGAAGGAACACACATGTTTTTAGGGACAGGACTGACCCGAGCCCCACCCTTGGGTTCTGATCAGGTTTGAGGCTTGGGCACTGCATTTGTAACCAACTGGCCTCATGGTGCGTGAGCCAGAGAGCTCCCCAGACCACAGCTGTTCACACAGGTGGCAGGGTGGGTTTGGAGTTGAATCAGGTAAGGGGATGGGACAAGGCTACTCCAGCCTTGGGAAGAGGAATCTGAGAGATGAACCTTTGTTGGTGGTCCATAGTCCAAGGTGATGCCTGGCCATGCTGAGTGCATCCTCTACTGGCTTGGGTAGAGAGTTCAAGTCCCAGCCTAGGCCTTGGCCCTTCACCTGTGCTGTCAGGCCTGGAAATGGCGGCCAGGCTAAATAGATTTCCGCAGGCTGAAAGCGGCTTAAACTGTAACCGCAGCAAACCCAACATAGTGGTTATGAGTCAGGCTGCTAACTGCAAGGTCAGTAGTTTGAAACTGCCAGCTGTTCCATGGGATGAGGCTTTCTGCTCCCGTAAAGATTTACGACCCCATAAAGAGTCACTATGAGTCAGAACTGACTCCATGGCACATAACTACCACCAGTAACAGGAAGCTGACTGCTTCCTACTCTAAAGACAGACTTCATGACTCATCTTTCCCCAAACAGGAGCACCTTTCAGCAAAGCAAGCAGTCAGTCAAGTCCCACAACTGGTCCAAGGGCTCTTACCATCAACTCCTTTGTCTTGAAAAGCTGATCTTGGTTCCATATTGCATTGGGCAAATCTGCTGCACAGGAACTTTTTAAAGTGTTGAAGAGCAGAGATGTAAGCTTAAGGACTAAGGTGCGCCTGATCCAAGCCATGGTATTTTCAATAACCTCATATGGATGTGAAAGCTGGACAGTGAATAAGGAAGATCGTAGAAGATATGATGCCTTTGAATTGTGGTGTTGGAGGAGAATATTGAAAGTGCCATGGACTGCCAAAAGAACCAACAGATCTGTTCTGGAAAAAGTGCAGCCAGAGTGCTCCTTGGAGGCCATGATGGCTAAACTTCGTCTCATACTTTGGACATATTGTCAGGAGGGAACAGTCACTAGAGAAGGATGTCATGCTGGGTAAGATGGAGGGTCAGAGAAAAAGAGGAAGACCCCCAATGAGATGGATCAGCCAGGTGGCATCATTGATGGCGTCAAGTGTGGCGGCGGTAGTGAGGTTGGCCCAGGATCGGACATTGTTTAATTCTGCTGTGCATGGGGTCGCTATGAGTCGATTCCGACTCCAATGGCACCTGACAACAATAACAACCACCACCCAATAGTAAAGGCTGATGAAGTCTTGAAGCAGAAATAGCACTCAGCTGAGCCAATGACTGATTTGCTGACCCTGGTTAAGTAAAAATGAGGGATGGAGGGGAGGTGGCAAGATGGCGGACTCGGCTGAAAGATTATCTGGCCCCTCCACAGCAAACATGTCCAAATGAAACAGTTACAAATGAGACAGTCCTGGAGCTGAGCTTCAGGAGCAGGGATAGAGAAGTGGATTGAGCTGAGCAGACACAGAATAAGGCGAGATTGGTGGTGTGAGCCAGAACCAGACAGATTGATGCAAACTTGCACATTGGGGAGGAGCAGCTCCAGAGACCTGAGTTATCGGCAATCGGCATTGCAGAAACATACAGCTGGATCTGGAGAGACAATGGTGTGATTTTCCCTTGTTTCCCACGCTGCCCTGGGAAGCAGGGAGGTGAGCACCATGGTTGTAGACCCCGTTAAAGGAGGGGGAAACTGTCCACATTGACCCTGTTTGGGTGGGCCCTGCTCCAGATCTAGAGTCAGACGTGGCCAGCCTGGTTCTAGCCCTCCCCAGAAGCAGCAGAACAAACATGGGGAGAAAGAAACTGCTGCTCTCTGCACTGGCGGTCCGGCCGACCTCTGTGTGGTCATCTTGATTGAACTTCCATGGGCGGCTTTGAAGGCAAAAGGGCAGTAGGAGGTCCAGAGGCATACCATTTAATTGTTGGTGTTGCCAGGTGCCATCGAGTCGGAACCAACTCATAGCGACCCCATGCACAGCAGAATGAAACAATGTCCGATCCTGGGCCAACCTCACTACCGCCGCCACACTTGATGCCATCAATGATGCCACCTAGCTAATCCATCTTGTTGGGGGTCTTCCTCTTTTTCTCTGACCCTCCACCTTACCCAGCATGACATCCTTCTCCAACGACTGTTCTCTCCGGACAATGTGTCCAAAGTAGGAGAGATGAAGCTTAGCCATCTTGGCCTCCAAGGAGCACTCTGGTTGTACTTCTT